AAAATATTCAAATAGGTAATTACCCTATAAATATGGTACTAAAATGGTTTTTCTTTCATCTAATTATGAAATATAATAATTTAGTTCTTTTTCTGGAAGAAAACAAAAGTATTTGTAATACAATATGTATAGAAAATGACCATATGATCACTTTTGGATCACATATAATACATTCTGCATTTGCAGGTGCACTATGCTTTATACAGATATGTAATAAATCATAAACGTATCATAGTTACATAATCTCAACAGGAGAGATACACCCTCAGTATGATGAGAAAATTTCACATGATTATATTTGATATTTTCAATAATTTAAAAGTTTTGAATATTATGGAATATATTTTAATACTTTGAAGAGTAAAACTTAACTGGATTAATAAAACATTGTTGCAGTTATCTGTTTTACTGAAGGAATTCTCCAAAGCAGAATCACTGCAACATTACACTAGTCATTTAAAAAGTAATGCAGTGTTGCATGACATCTATTCACATCTTCAGTGACATTACATTAATGTCACTATATTATGTTATATTTACGTCACTCCATGATGTTATAACAAAGTTGCAGTGTGACATTACAGTGAATGTTGCAGTATGACCTCACAACATCACAGTGTAGCTTCACAACAATGTCACAGCTTGACTATGCATCAATGTCACAGTGTGACTTCACAGCAATGTCACAGAGTGACTTCACATCAAAGTCACACTGTGATTTGACATTAATATCACAGTAGGTCACATAAACATTGCAGTGTGACGTCATATAAAAGATTGAACAACACTGATAATCCTCTCGCACTCTGCATTACTATGGGGAATTCTCAGGGTAGACAAAATTATTCTACACAGCTCATCGTAAAAATTCCTTTCCAATTAAACTCTATAGGGTAATAAGGCTTGCTGATTTTATAAATTAAAAATTAAATAGAGCAGAAATATCTGCAACTTTAGCATGTAAATTCAATTCATCGTTGATTGGAAATTTATTTATTATGTAATCACAGATTCAACGGAAGTAACTTCTAACATAGAAATAAAACTTTACTTTTGTCTTCCTCTGAAAGTTCTCCCACTATTTTGTTAGTCACAGGAACTACTACAAAATTTTCTTCGTTACTCTGATTTTCTATCATTTTATCATAAATCACACAATACATAGAATTAGAAGACAAAATAAAAATTGGTTTTACGAACTTTGATAAAATTGCTTTAAACATATCACTAATCATTGATTACAAAACATGAATTAATGGAATTCTGCAATGTGAAATTGTGTTAAGAGCATCAAATGATGGCAAAATGGAGCATACAAAAAAGCAAAAAGCTTTGATAAGGTTTGAAGACAAAAGCACAAATATTCTTTCTTCATAAGATAAACTTGCAATGATCGGAAAATGTTTCCTTTTTTAAGCAATTTTTTTTTTAACTTTATCATGTGCATTTACTTTAGGTATTTATAACTTTTAATATAACCTTTGCTTCTTCCTTAAAAAATATAAGAAGTGGGTTCTATTGGTCAAGGATTCTAGATAAACATTTCTCTAAAGATAACTACACATTTCAAAATTTGACTTATTTCAATATTACGCAGATGTTGGAATTGTTTCAATTCTTTCCTTCCTTCCTTTCTTTTCCTTTTATTTTACAGTATTCCAGATAATAATAAATATCATCAATGTGTTCATCTAGACTTACTAGCAAAGAATCTGCCTCTTTTTCAGTTGATAAATTTAGGAGGTGACAGGTGCACCTCATAATTTGCAAATCTGAACTTTTTTTCAAGTTGTCTGCAACACCAGTGTTCAAGCCTTTTTTTTTTTTTTTTTTTTTTTTTCAACGGCAGGTGCTTGCCTATGCCGGCATCGGCCACTCCTAAGGCCAGATGTGGTGGTCTCTTTATTATGGAGGCACCTAATAGGTGGGCCACCTTTGCCTTGTAAGAAAGGACAGATAGTTCACATCCATGCCTTTTCCGGGATTTGAACCCAGGCCCTTTGGTATCGCAGTCAAGCTCCCCGAACCACTAACTGGGTGGCTGTTGCAAAGGGAAAAACTTCAATATTAAACAAAAATCTGCCAAATCAAAGGGCACTTGCAAAATCATTAAAATGCTCAGATTTCAAGCGTAACAATACTGCTGCACTATCAGCTTCAAGTGCTAAGCAATTATCCAGAAGAACTACAGAATGAAGTTGTTTTAATGCAATCAATAACTGAAAATTTATTTTTCATACCCATTTTCATACAATTTCCACCATTTATGTCCTTGCATTTGAGTATTTCTTGGTGATTTCGCTATTGGGAAACATTTTTCTAAATAAAGCTGCAGTATGACTCAATGCATTCACTCGCATCAGTGGCAAGTTGTGCTGCAATAAAAAAGGCATTCTGCACTAATAACTTTTCGGTTACTTCCACAGAAAAAAAAAAAAAAAAAGAATTTTTTGTTTTTTTCAATACAACTCACATTGCCCTTGTATTTTTTGCATATGCATATATATTTAAGAACCTATGTCCTTCCACCATGCAAAATCGAAAAATTAAAACTACAAAAGGTACACATTACAAATGTATTATAGTTCCTTAATGAAATCAGAGAAGGAAAGTCGTCTGTTTGTGTATGGTTTTGAAAAAGTACATGAGCATTCTGCCTTTTTTGCTGATATAACTAAGACAAATGACCGGGTATATGGCAGATGAGTGCATCAATGCTTGATGCTCATTGGAGAACTAGAACAGGAAGTTTTGGGACACATGTACTCTCAATCACAAATCAAAAGTAGAGCATAATGACTCACTGATGAAACGATTCATCAATCAAACTCGCTGAGGAAACGATGGTTTCATTTTATATGTAATGTAATAAAAAAGTGAGCACTTTCAGATGCCCAAAATCACTTTTCTGGGTTCAAATAACTAAGTATTAATCCAAACTACATAAAAATGAGAAATTTTAAGAATAACTGAAAGCTGGATGAAATATGTTGCAAATCCGGTTGGTGGAGTATGGTCGGAAATGGAGAGTCTCCCGCCTAAACCAGAAGAGTTGGCAACCTTGTATTTGGTCAGAATTATAAAGACTGTAAAAGACTAGATTTAACTGTAACAGGGAGAGTATAACAAACTCATGAGTCCATAAAATTATTCTCATAAATTATTAAGATACATTCAAAAGTCGTTAATTCGGGCACCCATAATCCGGACCTCAAAGCTACAAACTTTCTGCGCATGCGTCTGCGCATAGGCGTTTATGCGTGAGCATAAGACCTTTACGGCTGCGAATATGCATGTGTGCAAGCGCATAATATGTTTATGCCTTTTATGCCTGTGCGTATAATGTATAACGGTCGGTATAAGCTAAGCTAAAATTATCTAATTCAGTTAATGTTGCAGATTGCGTTGTTCCTTAATCTTTGAATTGGATCCGGCTTATTATTTTTTGCAGACTGTTAGAGCAATTTTATAAAAGTAAGCTTGAACTTTCGATTATGTCAAATAGAATTTCCGATATATATTTACTAATATGTAAAGGATCTACAAAGCGAAAGTATGTTTCAAGTCCATTATTAAACAAAAAGTGGAATTGCTGCAAAAAATGGATAAAGGCATATCCTTTGGATTATCTAACATTCGAAATTGTTTATCAATTTCACGCTGCTCTGCGGGGGGGGGAAACGACGCGGCGCGCAATGAATTGGAAGTTGATCTGTCAGCACTATCCTTATCTTCAGGGCAGATGTTTTTATTTTATTTGGCTTATAATTCCTTACTAAATGTAGTATTTCATCTCGATGTACTCCGTCTTTGATATGATTTAAATCAAGTTCCTCGTCATTATAATTCGCTTCCGATAGTGAAGAAAGTGACACAGAGGTTATTGAAAACGAAAAAATTTCGATTGACAAATTAGTCGGTATTCTCGACACAGCAATTATAGGACTTGAACAGCGGAACTTTGTAACTGAACAAGAAATTATGTCTGTTTATAGAATTAAAGAGAAAGTATTATCACATAAAACGAAGCAACTTAAACAACTTACATTGAAAGAAATGTTTAATAAAGTAAACAAATAAATATTAAGCTTTTTCTTTTTGTAAATTTTGATACTCTTTAGATCATAATTGTTCTTTATTTCATAAATTACGGTTTTATATTTTTAATTTTATAATTTCTGCATGCCATCTTACCAGATTTAAACTGATGATCTATAATCCGGAAAAATCGATAATCCGGAATCGCCGAAGTCCCAACGAGTCCGGATTAACGACTTTTGACTGTATTAACTTTTTACTTTATAACTGGCATAGAAGTTAAAAATAGACAATGTAAAATCAAAGGTGCTAAAGGATTACTGCAAAAATAATCAATTTAATTGTTTTGCAGTAATTAACAATTAATTACTGTAAAAGAAAAAATTAACTACTGATAGCAATTAACAACTGGGATTGGATTAAACCCCCAGCAAAACTTTATTAAGCAACAAAGTTTTATTCTTTGCCTTTCTATTGTGGCAGTCTTATGTTTGACTGCATGTGTCGCCAGATGACGTCATGTTGTTTACGTAAAAACTGCCAGCACGACCAGCAAACTCGCGCACATTGCCCTTATCTCAAGTGCGAGGATGTTCGAATATTTTTGTAGAAGTTTTTCTTTCTTAATGAATAGTTGTGTTAACATATAGTTGTATTAATGAATAGGTGTGTTAATAAAGTCATGTTTTAGAGAAGTGAAGTCATGTCTTCTAAGAACATTTACCGAGCAAAAACCCACTCACCATACTATTCACATAATTTCTTTTCCTATCACTTATAATGAGTACACCAAAGAGCAAAATATTTTCAGTAAATGCAATACAGTGATTTAGAATTTCTGAATTTTTAAACATTCAAAACTTCTTCCCCCCCCTTTTTTTTTAGAAATCAAATCATCTGATAATAGGAAAAGTAAGTATAGTTCACTGATAAATGTATACTGTATACATAAAGAAACTTACTGCATTAATAACTATATCAGGGCGTGGATCTTCCAAAAATTTTCGATGCTGAATGAATGTAAGAGCATTCAAACCAACTTTTGAGACACAATAAGCAGAACTTCCCCACCCTTTGACTTCATGTACACCAGTTTTGGCATCCCTGTAAAAAAAATGCAAGATTTCTCATACAATGACCTGATACTGATCTTACAGAGTATAAGGTAGTTATGGGCTCTCATTTTCTTAAATATCAAACCTATGATAGTAATACTTTTAATTGATAAATATTAAATATTGCTATTTTTTAATCACAAAGTTTCTCAAAATAATGTACATAATAAAAATAATAATAAATCTCAATGTATAGCCTCAACTCTAGGGCTGAGAATAATTTATAAAAATAAAAATTTCCCTGTGGTTTGAAATAAAAATTACGTTTAGTAAAATAGTCATTGATGGTCATTGTATCCCATAATAATAATAATAATAATAAAGGTAGTATTTCCTTAAAAAAAAGTTTAACTTACTCAAATTACTGGAACTAACAGTTTTATAATACTTACTCTACAAACTGTTTCATAAGAGCACAGAGTTCATCTTCAGTTAAATCTTCAGATAAAAATTTTTGTTGCAACTCCTTACCTGATATACGTGATAATTTACCAGCTGAGCTGCTCACATTTACAACTCTGGAAATATAAATGGCACAAGTTAAGAAAATATAAAAGTATATTCTCAAATACAAAGAATGACATAATTAAGCAACTCCGCTGATGGTTAGAAAAGACAAACACAATTTTGTAAAAGTAAAATGAACTTTCCACAAAATTAATTCTTATTAGGTACTATAAAATGCAAATTAATTGGCATAAAGCGATTGTTTTGATAATTTATATACATACCTTCATATACATTCATAATGATAAAATTAATGGGAAATATGCCCTCCTTTAGCAGAAATAACTTTTACCATACGTGCCAACCTATGACACTCAAAAATCCGGATTTAAGAAATCGGGAGATTCTACACAATGTTAAAGACTTTTTAAATAATAAAAATATAGTTTTTAATAATGAATTAACTTTAAATAGTTACTAATTCTTAAATGCAAGCAACACAAAAATACCTTTTTATTACTTGCATCGTTTAAGAAAATTACAACACACACACACACACACACACAAAAAAAAAAAAAAAAAAAAAAACTCTTTTATCAGTTTTCGTACAAATGTTATGACCAGTGGCAGATTTTGCTTTCATTAAGAAAGAAACTTCATAATTTTGTTCATAGCAATTGCCATGTTGGCCTGCTTTCGCTAATAAAAGTTTTTCTAATGTGTCATCACTAATATTAGATCTAAATTTAGTCCTTGTTTTCACAACAACATTGAAAATCCTCTCACACTCTGTATTACTATTGGGAACTGTCAAAATGGCCAACATAATTCTAGACAGTTCATGATATTTTAAAATTCCATCAGCACCTTTCAGTTTTCCAATTAAACTCCACTAGGTGTTAATCCTAGCTGATTTTATAACTCCATCCAAGTTTTCTCATTGTAAATTGCAAAATAGTGACTGCAATATTTATCAGTGGCACCATCAATATCATCATCTTTCATGACTAAATGAAGTAACACAGGAAACCTGTTCAAAAAGTACCTTATATCAGAAAAAGATGCATTTGCTAGAGCAGAAACATCAGCCACTTTAGCATGCAAAATCACTTCATAGTTGACTGGAAATTTATGTAGTATGTAATCCCATACTCGACAGAAATAATTTTTAACAAGAAGATAAAACTTATTTTTGTCTTCAAGCCTACCATTACTGGTGCATTATCGGCACCAAATGCTAAGCAATTATCCAGAGGGACTGCATTTTCTTTTAAAGTTTTAATAATTAGCTGCGCTATATTAAAGCCTGTCAAATGTCCTTCTAAAGAGGTGGCAAATAGCAAAACCACCTTGAAGATGAGGTTCAGATGGGTGGTCCGGATCCGGCCACTAAGTGGAAGGCGACCTGGAGCCTGACTGTTCTGAATTTGAAAGGTTGGCGAATTTGAGAGGCTTTGCATTACGCATCATCCACCCTATAGCATCGCCAACCTTTCAAATTCGGAACAGTCAGGCTCCAGGTTGCCTTCCACTTAGTGACCAGATCCGGACTACCCATCTGAACCTCATCTTCAAGGTGGTTTTGCTATTTGCCACCTCTTTAGAAGGACATTCGACAGGCTTTAATATAGCACAGCTAATTATTAAAACTTTAAAAGAAAATGCAATTCCTCTGGATAATTGCTTAGCACTTGGTGCCGGTAATGCACCAAGTAATGGTAGGCTTGAAGTAATACTAGTCTTGTGTATGTACACTTTATAGCATTCTTGATCATGTGATCTTTTGTTATACAATCCATTTTTCTGAGATGTTCCATGAGAAGTGCCACAAGTTTTTGATCAGATTTAACTTGGGTGTATTTCGCGGCTAATCCAGCACAATAATTTTATTTCCCAACATGCATCTTCTCCCAGATTTTTAATTGTGGCATGGAATCAAGCCATGCTGAAATGTCTCTGCAAAGATTTACAAAAAAGGGCTCAATCTCACATTTTAAAATTTCCATATGCTTCAATGAATTTATTATTCTGTCAATAGGAACTAGACTTCCAGTGCAATCAGCAGTGAAAAAACATTTGTTTTTGAGGGTACTTAACAGTTTGTTGGATGTATTGAAGTTTCGTTTATTCATCCTTGCTTTGTCTAACAACATTATTGTGTAACCATGAACAAATAAAAAGGTCTACTCAGTGAAAATGCCCTTTTTCAATCATTTATGATATGCTTTAGGTAATCATTTATGATATGTTTTAGGTAAGTAAAAACAATAATTTTTACTTCATTTCACGTGTGAAAAGTTGTTTTTCAACCGACTTTCTCACCTTATGGCCAGTAATGAGAAGTCTACACTGCACATTTAAGGATGAACATCACTACCAATAAACAAAAAAATCCCTTTTAAGGCCTCTGCTAGTCTTAGTTGGCTAGGCTTTAACAATGCTATTTTGGAGTAGGAATCGATCAGATTTTGAAGTTGTTTTTCTTTTACTTCCATGTTTGTCCTTCCTTCTTTTCTGGATAAAATGATCCAGTTTCATTCTATCTCTTCAGAATTCGAGAAACAGTCAACACCAGCTTTGGTAGCAATATTTATTACAGTCACAGGTGTGTGACTGTTAAGTGCAATAATCTTTGCTCTCTTTCTAAACATTATATCCAATTCTGGTGCACTAAAATAATGAAATGCTAAATGAATTTAAATGTATGTAAAAGTAACTTCATCTTCTCACAGAAACAAGCTTACAAATTCTGCAATAATCCTATTTTTTTGTTGAAATCAATTCTAAGTAATCAAAAGAAAACATCCAGACAATATTAAGGTAGATAAAACTGCTCTGAGATACCTCCTGTTCACAGCTGGCAACCAGCATTAATTTCTGGAAAAAAATCGCTTTGTCCCAGTTAATTTGTACACTACAGTATACACTTTGCATGAACACTAATAACAGTGAATACATATTAAATTTAAAATTAATTCTTAAATGCAGCAAAAATCTAATCATTTTTAATAACATTTAACAAAATAAATTAATAATATTTCAGTAAAAGTTTTCAAAAACCTTGGAAAAAAAGAAAAGATAGCAATTTGAAATCCCAAAATCATTTTATTAAAACCTTTCTAATAAAAAGGGAAAAAAAACAGCGTTTTTATATCGCTAATAAAATACCAAATTTAAACCATAAGTCTTCAAGATTATAATTTATCTGTACCCAAAGTAATAAGCAGCTGCTTGCATATATACTGAAACATACACCTTTAACATAAAAACTAATTGGTCCCACCAAAACAGTGATATTGCCACATGTTTGCAGAAATGGAAAAGAAAACCTCAAGAACCTGCAAATCTCACATGAGAGTAGGAGGCTGTGTGGAGCAAAAAAGCTTTTTTCTGAAATCCATATTACCTGAGTCATTCTAGTTCCAAATGGGCTAGAACAAACTGTGTTCCAATTTCAGCCCAAAATATTGACATTTTGAGGTTCCATACCTATCTAGTAAATATCTGTAATGACTTATTTAACGGTTTTATGCTTTTTTCATGAATTGCTTGGTCAAAAACGCCATTATTAGCATGAGAAATTGCTTCCGACATCAAAATATCAAATTTAATGCTAAAATATGCTACTAGATGACAGAACAGGTTCTAATCTATACATTATAGTTTGCATATGCAAGCAATTATGTGGCTTCTATGATTTTTCAATGTCTTTTTATTGTTAATTAGATGGTTGTTCGGCATGTTTTGTCAATCCTGCATTATCATTCACTGCTTATGTTGGACTTATGTTGCTCATGATGTCACCTAGAAGTACATCTTTTTGTAACATTTTGAAGCACCAGTACAACTTAAAGAGACAGTTTTACCCACGTATGCTGATATAATGAAGCATTTCCTTTGAGTCAGAAATGAGTTATTGTGGAAAGGGAACAAGACAGACCTGTCAGTCAAGGGGATATTACCAAAATTGTTTCCTGTGACATCTCAAAAATTTGGAAGAAAAGCTACATTATTCTGGTAAGACAACAAAAAATTATCCATCTTATAAAAAATTACAATGAAAAGTACAAAAATGTGAAAAGAATACCAAAATCTTGAGAGAGTGCCGATAAAACTAAGATTTCTTCAATCATGCAAACTGTACTTTTGTCTGATACTTCTGCATGCAAATGTTTGAATTATGAACAATGTGAATGTTCCGTTACGATTCCAAGCCTAGAACAAATTTCTTAACAGAAACAACATGAAAGAAAAATGGCCATTGGGTCGATCGACATTTCTGAAAGCCGAAAACTACGAAGAAACAAAGAAGAGAAGATCAGGAATCTAAAGCAAGGGCATATGCAAATAATGCATGTTTGTCTATTATGATTTACAGAGTTAGAAGCGAATGTTGTCTTAAATGTCTGATTCAGAAAACATCTCTAAAAATAATGAAGACAATTACATTAGTCAAGAAGCCAAATGTCTGAAAGACACTCATTCTCAAATTCCCTCAGCCTCCAAGACAGGCCAAATGCAAATACAGCCAAATTTAGCTGTTGCTTGTGATAGAGCGGGAGTACTAGATAGGGCAGCGACTGTCATTGCATCCTCTGTACTTCAGGATCTAGGAATTATATCTAAAGTTATTCCAGCTAAACTTATTGACAGGAGTAAGATATGGAGGGAATGCCGTAAGGTATGGTCCCAGCTTCAGACAATCGCTACACCAATAATACAGTCTTAGTATGGCATCGACTTTGATGGGAGGAAGGACAAAACTATAATATATGAGAAGAGAAATTCTTTACACATGACCACAGCTTAGGAAAAGCTGTTCTCTTGTCAGAACCTGGTTCTGTTTATATATAGAACAAGTAACTATGGATTCTGGGTTCAGTGCAGATATTACACAAAGCATGACCAACATTGTTATACAGTAAGTGATTGAACTGTCCAAACTAATTGCTGTTGGGTGTGATGAAATAAGCGCCAACACTGGGAAGAAAAATGGCATAACGTCTTGAGATCTTTGCTGGTCATAAACAGCATTAGCTTGTATGCTTATTGCACACCAATGAACTGCCTTTTCGTCATCTTTTCCAAAAGATTGATGGAAATATATCTGGGCCACAACTGTTTCCTGGAATACTAGGAAAATTCCTGAAAACATGTGAAACCCTTCCCATAGAGATTATGTCCTTGTTTCAGTTGATCTATCTGAAATTAATAAAAAAAGACCTCAGTACTGACCAAAAATACCTTTGATTTTTCTAAGGCAGTATCCTTGGAGAAGTGCCCTTTAGACCTAGCAAACAGGAGTCCTGGGAAGATGGCCCATTACAAGCAATAGCATTCTCACTTTTATGTATCAACCGTCGAACCAACAGACAACTTACAGCTACTGGCTGAATATGTTATTAAAGTTTATGTGCCATCCAGGTTTGAAATAAAGAAAATCCTGAAAGCCAAACACGGAGCATGTCATGTTTACAGAATGATCAAGAAAAGTTCCTTCTTGCCAGAAATTTTTAAGGCAATTGTTCATGAAATTATTGAGAGGTACTATCATTTTGCTCACTCTGAAAACATCCTGTTGGTGATGCTAGAAGATGAACGAACACATATTCGTGAATTTGGCCTGAGAAGAAAGAAAGCAAGAAAAACTGAGTGAAAGAGGAAAATAAGACAACTTGTGCTTCCTTAAATTGAATTTCAAAGCACAGGAGTAATTTGAGATAATTCACTGGGACAATCCCTTGGAGCTACTGGCTACCTTGAATCTGAGTGACGAAGACGTAAGATTGATTAGAGGCAGTTTGAAATAGAAAAGCTCCCTTGTCATTCTCAAGTAGTAGAGAGGCATGTGAAACTAGTGACAGAAGCCTCATTGGTAACATGTGGTGCAGAAGCCAGAGATGGATTCATACGCAGTCGAATCAAGTCCCGGAATGAGCTTAGTGAAGTTTGACAAGATGAATTTCTTCATTTCTCTTGTGGAACCTGAAGATGACGAGTAATTAAGCTGAAGCCTTTTTACTGGCATTTTTTTACCAACTGCAAACATATGTTGAGTCAGAAAACAAAAATTTTGTAAAAAAATATTAAAAATATTGATAAAAAATAATTTGATGTTTTCACTAACATTAGCACTGAATTTTTTACTTATCTCATGTGGAACTTGAAGACGACGAGAGATTGAGCTGCAAAATTTGTACTGTTTCTTTTTCATCAAACAGAATATCTATTGGGTCAGGAAATAATAAAATTTGAAAAGAGGAAAAAATGTCCTTTTTCACTCCATCCTACTGTACATGCTATGATAGCTCTTTAATAATAAAGGACCTGTTCAGCTCGCATTCAGAGGAAACTGTGGTATCCCTATTAATATCTCTGATAGGTGAATTTTTTGGATAAGTTACAACTGTGTCCTACCCTATGCTGATTCTGAGAGATTTAGTCTCCTCCAATAGAAACAATGTACAACTTCACATGTTTAGGGACGCCAAATTATGATTAGAAGGAAATTCAGGATACCAAAGTCACATCTCAGTATTGTCAAATACATCTAGAATCCCATGAAACATACTGTAGAACAACGAAATTCTAGTCTTCTAAACAAAAAATTAAGAACCACTCTTCACTTGTTCGTCATGCATAGAATACTTTATCTCACATACTTGTGGAGCTAATTTTTCTGTAGTTTTACTCTAAATTCTTCACTTGTTCGTCACGCATAGAATACTTTATCTTACATACTTGTAGAGCTAATTTTTCTGTAGTTTTACTCTACCATGAAGGAACTACTAAGTATTAGACTGATATTTTTTTACATTGAGGTGTACACTATTATCCATAGTAGCCATATAACTGCTGAGTATAAAATACATACTTTCTCATAATATAAATTTGTTGTAACAGGACTTTATCCTCTCTCCACAAAAATATTAATATTTATATTTGATATTCAGACCTCTAACAAAATGATAAGAAATATTAAATAATATTTGTTGATGAAAATATGTTTTCTTAATGTAACAAGTTCATCAATACAACCTCAAGATAAAAGCATTCTTTTTCCTTTTTACTAAACACAGGTTCTTTGCATGAAAAAATATAGATTCATTTTTTCTTCCTTTGAAAGTTGATGGTAAAATAATTATAGCAAATGCAATAAATACATAAAAAATGTGCACAGAGGTGCATAAAGAATTTCTCATGTTTCACACTAATAAATGCTCTGTCATGTAATTCCAGAGTTAGCCACTAGATGGCAACATATCAGGGTCTAGGACTTTTCGCCATTTTACCGTGGCTGTTTCGCTGTTGGGACGTTTCCCTATCAAGACATATTTTCTTTACATGACTGTATTATATCTTGTTGTATTATGCTCGTATTAAATTTATTTAGTTTAATAATTCTATTTACCTTTTGTATACTTAATAAAGGTTTTTTTTAATATATATAGTTGTTTACAAGTATGGTATAAAGAAATTAGTTAGTTGGAAAATTGTGTCAATATCAAAGAAAACTAGGGCTAAACCCCTGATATAACAGAAGTTTATGCAGGTGCAATATTTACATGATTCATCAAAGTTTCTTGAAATTTTAATCAGCTAGTTCAGAGAAATCACCCATACAAGCAGGAAATTCCTATTTTTTTAAAATCTGAATGGAAAACAATTATTTTGGAATCTTGTTAGCACATTACTCTCTTAAAACTAATATGTCATGTGTAACGATGTATTTGTATTAAATTTTACAAAAAAACATCTTATACACTATTTTATGTAAAATTTTTATTAAATTAAATTATGAAAATTTTATGACATACATACATATGAGATAATTCATATATGATACAACAAATTCAAGGAGTGGCTGCCTGTGTGATGTAAAGTGAACAATCTTGCACAACTGCAAAGAATTACTGAAATGGCATTTCATTTAGTTGATTTAAAGTCGCCCCCTTAATCCACCTGATCTAAGAGGATTTTAATCAGTTTCATACCAGTGTTTGTAGCTGACCAAGGCTTTGGGCACATTTATAGGTGACAATTCAACTTTTGCCCACCCCCGTCCCAAGTATGATGGAGAAAAACCCATGGGATTGATTTAAGGATCCTATCCCTCTTTCCTTGTGAACAACCTCTTCAGAGGATCTTTGGCTTAAAAGTTTTTAACCCTTTAAGTGCCATGACCGGCTTATCTGGTCATGGAATTTTTTTGTCACTTGGTACATATTAGCTTATAATTTATGAAATTTTGCTTTCTTAATTTCTTTAATAATATAAATGTCATCTTAATAAATCTAAGTTTATGAAAAAGTAAGTAAATATACAAATTTAGCTAATAAGGGCCTATCAAATACAGGTATTCATGATAGATCCAAAAACCCGAGCCACTCAGAGGGTTAAGTATCTCTTGCTTCAATGATATTATACACTTACAAATATCCATATCTTCTGAAATATAAACACGGTCCTCAGGCTATGGCAACTGGCTTCCCTACCACCATGCTATCAGAGTGGATCAGTTGATTTGATCAACTAAGTGATCAAAAAGAACCATGACCATAGTTCTGCTGCCCCGCCTTTAACTTTCTACTAGCATCAGTCTTGGAACTTTATTATCAATGCATTCATTATAAATAAAATTACACTTTAGTTTCAAGAATTTTAAGCTCAAAACAAAACATTTCTTCATGAAATTAAAATGAATAATTTACAATTATTACCTAGCATGAGGTCTTAACAATGGAAACAGGTGATGACATACATTCAGAGTTGCAAAAACGTTGATTTTTATAGTGTTCTCAGCTTGTTCTGAAAAGGGTGTAGTGTCTGCAACCTGCATTCAAATACAGCATAATTAAAAATAAAATGGAGGAAAAAATACACCTGAAAGGTTTCAGACTTTAAATTACGTCCAAAGGGGCATTTTTTAACATTTAGTGTGTTACCTTTATTTATTAAATATCATGTTCTTTGCTCTTAAACCATAAAATTCAGTTCAACAGCAATATTGCAAAATAATTTTAAAATGAGCAAATATGTAGAATTTCCTATACACAGTTCCGTGCGTTGGAGATAAAAAGGTCCCCCCCCCCCGTAGAGTGTTGCCATTGCTTGCTTTTAAATGGTTGAGTTTGTTAATCAAAAATTCGTTAAAGTTTTACAAAACATGATATAGATGATAAAACAAATTGCAAATTTGGGCTTCCAGATGCCCACATTGGGTGAAAACGTACATTATTTAAAACTGGATGGCTCTAGGTACCATTGTTTCATCACAATGCGAGAAACATACATACATTTATGCAGATTCTTCATTATGTAATTTCTTTAAATATAAGACAGGCGATAATATTTGATGGCAACAATTTGAAAAGTGAATTGGAGATTTATAGTGAAGCAACGTAAAATGCCAAAACGAAAATAAATAGTCCTTCAGTGTATTTACCCTGATTGATAAAATCTGATTTACTGAAAGGTTTATGGTTAGCTACAGTTATTCCAGTAAGTACTCTGAAGCTTTTAATTTTATATTACAAGGTATTGGAAAAGAGCTCTTCTACCCTAGTTCAACAGAACTGCAAGGTTCAATGAAAGATCTACACAGAATTTTGCAACAGATTGTTGGATTTGAAAATATGCTATTTCTACTTAGCCTAGATACACATTTTTTGTAGAAGAAGGCTTTTAAACTAATATTTAATAGAAAACAATGAGATTCATCCAATTAAGTTTTAAATATTTATAAAAGGGAAATAGCTTCATTAAAAAAAAAAAAAAAAAAAAAAAAAAAAAAAAAAAAAAAAAAAAAAAAAAAAAACTAAATTTAAATATTTCACCTTTGCTTGCCTTTCCAAGAAAGCTTGGCTAAGAAGCAATTTTTAGTTTTAAAGAGAAATAGCTTCTCTTCAATATTATGCATTTAATGCCTTCAAATATCATGCACTAAGCATAATAAAATTTTGTGACAGAATTTGGACCTTTGGTAAGTATAAAAGTGAAGTTAAGAAGATACAGCACCCGCTGCTTATTAAAACCACTTCTGCTCCAAACATACTTGAGTTTATAAAGCAGCTAACTTTAACAGACATTGATCCAAAAATCACAAATCATTATATCAGTTTTTAAACTTTCAAATAAAATAATAACTATGAATTAATTCAATAATTAAAAATCAATGCAAAAATTAAACTGTTTATGCTGTTTTAAAATTCATTTTTTAACTTTTTACAAAAATATTTTTACAATTGATACTTGATAAAATTTTCTCTCTTACAAACAACTCTTCTGTTTGTTTCATACAGAACATATGAACATATATTTCATATATAACATTCTCATATGGAAAATTTTTTATAAGTTATTTGTCTTAGAAGAGGGAATGTTACTTAGTTTTCCTAAGTCAGTTTCCTTTAGAAAATTTTCCATGCAGGACATGCTACAGGAACCTAGTTTATGTTCTCATTACAAATGAAGAAAAATGTGAAAACTCCCACATAGTTACAGTTTAGTACCACTGAACCCATAATAAAGTACAAGCATTCAATTGACTTGGGCATCAGTGGTCAGCTAAAATAGGGATCGACAGAAAAATATTTTCTATATAAAAACATTAATAATAAAATTTTTTAGGGAGAGGGAAGAGGTTTTGTTTATATTTAGCAAAGTGATGATATTTTACATATGTAAAGAAGGCAACTAGAAGTTAACATATTGCAAAATTGAAACCAAATTCATTATATGTTATTAGAATGTAAGGAAAGGACGCACAGTGGTAAAAAACAGGATGGCAGAATCAACAAGTATAACTGATAAGATACTTTTCAAATTATCCTCTTTGCTATGAAAGACAACAAAAACATTATCAAACAATAAACAAAAACAGCATATCAAAAGCTGAGAGAGAACATTTTTAAATCACATAAATTAAATATATGTATAACATTAAATTTAATATAAATTATTAGTATTTTAATTAATTTTAGATTTCATTATTTTTATGCAAAAATTAATGTACTACTTAAACTGAAAATGGATCATTATGCACTTAATGATTTTAAAATTTATGACATTTTCTTTGTTTCAAATGAAATTTAGCTTTACACTTCAACTACAAAAAATTACTACATTATCAAATTGCTCAGTATGACTTGTAATATTTAAAAAAATATAATTAGATTTATGATATACAAGAGATAAAATTTAAGAATTATTTTATCTTTACCACTTTTTACTGTTAAAATCATGACACAAAGGTTAAACAATATTTAAAAAATATAATGATATAAAGTGATATAAAGAGTTTTTAAAAGTTAATTATTTCTATATACCTTTGACTTCAGCAAATAAATAAACAAAATTTTAGTTTCATTGCAATGTACAATCAAGAATATAAATGTTAAAGATTAACATCTACTTGCATTTACCTTATAGGCAATGGCAGCATTATTTACTAAAACATCTAAACCATCATACTTAGCCTTCAAAAAGAATGCAAAAGTTTTAATGCTTTCTGAACAAGTAATATCAAGAAGATGAAATTTGGGATTTAGTCCTTCCTGCTCTAAAAGTTTTACAGCTGCTCTACCTCGACTCTCATCACGAGCTGAAAATAAGATAAAAATTTTGCAACAAAAGCTTAAAAAATACATAAGAAAATTTGGTACTTTTCCGTTTTGCCGGCGCAGGCGATAAAATCGCCAATAATGGTACAACTAATGCCAAACGGAATATCCTTGCTGGCAATCTTTTATGACTCATTTTCAAAACAAGTCACAGCTATTTGTTTTCAGATTGATTGTTTCTTTTAATACTGGCATACAATTACATAGGATGTTTACAAGATAATTCAATTTTATGACCTAAGGCCATTCGAATAATTAAGTCAATTAGGATGCAATCATACCGCTCACCTGAAGGCGAAAATATAGAAAAGGCAAAATCAAGGGTTAAATTCATCAATTCTAATGAGAATGCACTAGCTAAGTAAAGCACTGCAGTTTTACATAATTTCTGAGTAAGCTATTGTACAAATTGAAATAATTCGTGCATTTAAATTTGTATTCATAATTAAGATTTAACTTGAAATTAATATAGATAATTACTGAGAGAATTAGATTTTAGTGTAGTTTACGTGAGATGAGATCACTCGGGGTCATGTGATACGAACCGGCGAATCAGGATGTTGAACCATGAAAGCCTAGTAAATTCTTAAATTAATGTCTTTTGACAAATTTATTGTCTTTATTTATTGGCTTTTTACAAAATTTTAAACGATATTAAAATATTTATGCCTTCAAAATAAAAAATTCTTAGAACTAACATTTGTTAATATTTTTTATGTGTGTACTGTATGTTGTTGCCAATAAAGTCTGTTTGGTGAGATTTGCCCCGGCGAAACTGAAAAGTACAGAAAAGGTATGCATACAAAAGTGCAAGACTTACATTATACTCTATTAGAACTTTAAGTTTAAATAATAACTTTTATTATTAAAATCCCATAACTTTTAGTTTTCCAGAACTGAAAATTTATGCTTATTACCAACAAAGTAAATAAGAATTTATAATAAAAATGAAAACACAACAATTTTACAGCTTGATGGGTCTTTGTTACCTATGTCAATGTGATGAATGCTATGATATGCTATTTATGATAAAGTTTTTTGAAAAAATGATAAAGTTTTTCAAAAATAACTGATCATTTGGATGTGAATTCTTTACCAGTACTTTATAAGGACATTTAAAATAATTTCACACTTTTGTGTGATGCAATCCGAGGTGACAAAATGTGATGACATGATTACATCACTTTGTGCAAATATGAAAAGAAAAGCAGGCGCAGCAGTGTCATTATTTTAATGTTGGGAAAATGTTAAATGTTTGTTAATAAGTTTGTTAATATAAAAAATATCAAACATCTATCATTCAGTGATTGGATTTTTGATAAAAGAAGGTATCCATTGAAAAATATTCATTTAACATGATTGCAGTATATGATTATACAGTACAAAGTCCAAAATCCGGATTAGGGATTTTTCCGGATATTAGATCATCAATTTAAATCTGGTAAGATGGAATGCAGAAATTATACAATTAAAAATATGAAATTGTAATTTATGAAATCAAGAACAATTATGATCAAAATCAAAATTTACAAAAAAGCTTAATAATATTTGTTTACTTTATTAAACATTTCTTTCAATGTATGTTGTTTAAATTTCTTCCACTAAAAATTCAAAAAGTTCCTTTTTCTTTTTTTTTTAATGTCATACAGTTGACTTTCCAAAGACATACTCCTCGCACAATTTTGAGACAGATATGCCTTTATCCATTTTTTGCAGCAATTCCACTTTTTGTTTAATAGACATCAAAACATGTTTTCTCTTTGTAGATAGATCCTTTGCCAGCTCCAGAAATGGAAACTCTTTTCGACATAATCGAAAGTTCAAGCTATCGAAAGTTTTACAAAATTGCCATAATAATAACAGTCTGCAAAAAATAATAAGCTGGATCAAATTACAAGATTAGAGAGCAGCGCAGTCTGCTACATGCCTTAGAATCAGTAAAGATAATTTTAGCCTAGCTTAATAGTGTCCATTATACATTATTGGCTGTGTATCACAAGATTGGCAACGAAAGCCAAGTTGTTTTGCTAAATTTTGTCTTGCTCCTATTGAGTATTAATCTATTATTTACTATACCTACATTTATTTCTTGCACATACTTAAAAATAATCCGAGTCCTGAATAAATAAACTCCCACATATACTTAAATAAACTTTATCTACGGCCGGCGCTCAATACAGCCTGATGCTGTCTCTACAGGTCTTAAATTCTGCTACAAAGGGCCTTCCTAGGTTCTAAATTTTTACTGCACCTAAACTTTGGATCACCCAAAACTTTGGATAACCCAGTGTTTTCAATAAATCTTAAAAAACTTCTCCTCCCTTAATTCTGCCACTCAGTGCTTCCCCAAATTTCAAAAACTTTGTCTTCTTTTGTCCTAAATTCTGCCCTCCAGTGCCGGAATATTCTGTCGCCGCTTCTGGGTTTATGGTGAATAACAGTTATTCTTAATTAAAATAGCACTAAATGTAATCTTTTGGCCAATGAGTTTCATTAACAAAATCTATTTTGAGCATATGAAAAAAAATTTTTGTTGAAATTTTCCTCCTCAACATTTCTTAGAGCATTTAAAAATCTATAATCATCACCCAGCGTAATGTTAGCATAAAAGGTTGCCATACTCTTGTTATTCAATTCCTTGAATGAGTTGTTACTGAAGCTGTCATGTATTCATAAACATGGGATGATGAAAGCAAAATATAATAAATAATGACTCACCAGGTCAGCGTCAGGGATAAAAAATAGGTGAATTTTTCAGTTTGAGATGTATGCTAAGCAGACACTCGGCTACGGAGCCAATTATTAATCTCACAAATTTATGGGTACTTACGTATTAACGCAACCAGGCCAAAATTCGCATAAATCGCCAAATTTGGCAACCCTACGTGTTTAGACGAAAGTTTATTTGTAAAAAGAAAAAATAACACTGGGCGTCTACTACCACAGCAATGGGTTTTCGGCAGAATTTGCCGAGAAAAGAAAGAGACATTTTTTGGTTACTGTACAGAAGCGCCGTTACCCTCATGGAAAAAATTTGCAAAAATATCAAGGAAGGAAGCATCATTTATTCGGATTGCTGGAAAGGATACAATACAAGTGAGTTCGAAAATGCTGGATTTCTGCATGGAACTGTTAATCACAAATATAACTTTGTGGATCCCAACACGGGCGTTCACACACAACATGTAGAGCACATGTGGGGCTCAGCCAAATAGCGCAACAAAAAACAGAGAGGAACAGCCCGTCATCATCTTGACTCATACTTTATCGAATTTATATGGCACCAAGCTCAAGCTGTTAATGGCGAAGACAGTTTTCAATCAGTGCTAAAAGCAATAGCCAAAAGATTTCCGCCGAAAAAATAATTCTGCAACTTATTCAAATTCGAAACCGGAAGGGTTTAATTGCTATTTTATATTTTAAAACAAAATAATATAAAAAACTTATTAAAAATTATCTGTAATTAATAAATGTACATTTTCTTTCTATTTATACTTTTTTACTCAAACTTACAAATCGCGCCAACCTGGTTGCGATAATACGTAAGTACCAATTTATGCTTACATCATTGTTTTTCCATAACGAGGTATTTTATTTAGTGCGTAAGTGTAATTAAGAATTGGAATTTTCAAGGGAAAATCTCCACATTTTATTATGGAAGAAAAAATCAAATGCGCATGCGTACAAAAAACAAGCAAGTAAAAAAATTTTTTGCGACTTTGAGGTCTGGATTTTAGATCATTTCGGATAACGGACGTCTGGATTTCAGACTTTGTACTGCACAACATCTTTCTATATGGCGATCAAAAGGTGGGCTATGATGTTTTGAAAGGGGAAAGGACAATCTGAAAATCCTAAGCCATTTTTGTCTAATTTCATCCTAAGCCTTTTTTTTTTTTTTTTTTCTAATTTCCACAGCAACACACATCACTGCTGGATTAGTGGAAGAAAAGTCCTATATGAAAAGACAGAAATATCAAGTCTAAAACAGAAGAGTATTAAAATGTAGGTGCTAGAAATCAAGACATAGGGATTTATATTTATTTTAAATAACTAATTTAGTTTAATTTTATGATCTTTCTTATAAGCCTTCATTCTCCTAATTGTCAATGCCAGAATATTTAAATTTGGTAGTGCACGTGAAGTAATGCAAATCCAACCTTGAGGAGAAAATGTTTACATACCGAGTTCTAGAAGGGAAAGTGAGATAGTTTGGGCAAGTGCCTATAATGTGAGCTTCTATTTCTGCATTAATTGCAGGTTAACATGGTATAGCAGCTATTACTTTGCTGCCACTAGATTTCGATGTGGTTTTAAGTAACAGGAGTAACCGAGCCCTGTAGCATAATTTCTACTACTTGTTAGTATCTTTGAATTTTAGCTTATTTCTTGTCATTTGAGTTACTGCCCGGGTTAAGAGTAGTGTGTTAGTGCCAAGTCGATGCACTGTGAATTTTAAAGAGTTTAATAAAGGGTATTTTTAATCTATCTGCTGTATAGTTCCTACATGTACAGTTGTCACTCAGAAGATAAGCAAGTAGATCTTACAAAGAGATTGTAAACGCAACATATTAATTTTACTTAAAATGTATTTTCCCAATTGGCAACAACATTTTTTTAGAACATAATGATTTGAACTGTAATGTTTTTGAGCAGTAATGTTGACGGTAATGTTTCTGAATAAAGCATGTATCTAACAATTCATGTTTGAACAGTAATGTTTGATGGAAATGTTTTGAATAAAGGAACTAATTAATTGCTAACATTTCAGAAGTGGGATTAACTAGAATTATTATCTAGAATTTAACAACGTATTGCCTTAATGTACGTTAAGCCTAAAGTGAATGCGGAAGCTCTCCAAAACTGAAAGTAGAAAGGTACGTGAATTTATAAACTGTTTATGTTATGTCTAAGTATTAAATGGAAAGAACTTAAGAATAATTATTGTATTATTATTTGAAAATTGAAGTCTAAGATGGCT